ATTTAAGCTTGAGTTTGTTTGTTGAAGTTGTTTGTTGGTTTTGTGTTATAGAAAATAAGGGGCAGATAAAATAAGATTTGTTTCTTCCCTCTGCACCCTTTTCATTCACGGCATGATTTTTTTAAAACTGTAAATATAGAATGTTCTGTTTTATGAATGAAGTAAATTGAATAAATAAAATATCTAATTTACAAATGATGCTTGTGCTGCCAGTTCTCTGCCTCCATGACTTTATATAAATAAATATGCTTACATGTTGTAACTTATACATACATTTAGTATTTTCCAAAGTTTTGTGAACTGATAAACATTTTCTTTGTTTTCTAAAGCTTAAAGGATTGTGTAAGAATCTTATCTCTCTGAGATTAACTGTTCAGGAATGATGCAGGTGCAAAATAATCAGAAATAATCAGAAAAGATTCAGGTCAGAATGAAGATTAAAAAGAACAGTCTTGGACAGTTTCATGTCAGAGGTCATGACGAAGAACCTTCCTTATGCAATGTGGTTTATTTATGTAGAAGATGTTACTCTGATCTCACATTACTGTAACACACACATGTTCAATTAATATCCATTAATTAATGTGAAACGTTTATGGCCAACAACAGATTTGATTTAAAAGAATAACAAGAACATGTTGTGATAAAGTATAACGTTGGTGAATGCATGTTGGATATTTTTTGAATGAATCATTTTCAGCTTTGAGGGTGTTTGTGTGGACTGACGCATACTGCAGAGGCCAATGATGGAGATGAAGTGTGTGTGTGTGGGGGGGGGGGGTGGTACAGTATGAAGTGTGAGATGTGAGGGGGGAGGAGAGCAGCTCTGTGGTGACAGAGGAGGAGGAAAAGCATGAAGGCATGAAAATCAGGAGGAAAAAAAGGAAACAGTTGTAGATGCTTCAGTTTCTCTCCTCTCTGTCTGACTCAGCCCCCCCTACATCCACACACACACACACAGAGACACACACACACACACACACACACACACACACACACACAC